TGTAAAAACTTTCCAGTGGCTGAAAACATAAAGCTAACAGCTATATCTCTGTTACAAAGCACTGACACTGGAGACTCCTTCCTAAAAATGCTATATAACAACACTTTTTAAAATCTATTCATTATTAGTTGTAGATTCTGTAATACATTTATGTAAACAGTAATGTATTAGAACAAGTGCATTAATACCCCAATCAGCCATTACATTAAAACAACCTGCCTAATATTGTGTAGGTCCACCTCGTGCCACTAAAACAGCTCTGACCCGTCAAGCCATGGACTCCACAAGACCTCTGAAGGCGTGCTGTGGTATCTGCCATCAAGACGTTAGCAGCAGATCCTTTAACTCCTGTAAGTTGTGAGACGGGGCCTCCATGGATCAGACTTGTTTGTCAGGCACATCCCACAGATGTTTGATCGGATTGAGCTCTGGGGAATTTGGAGGCCAAGTCAACATCCTGAACTCTTTGTCATGTTCCTCAAACCATTTTTCCTCAAACTTCGAACAATTTTTGCAGTGTGGCAGGGCGCATTATCCTGCTGAAAGAGGCCACTGCCATTTTTGGTAAGTAAGAACGGTTGGATTGAGTCAGTTTTATTAAACAGACCTCCATTGCTACACACTGTTTGTAAATGTGATGGGCTGACACGCTGTAGAGATTTAATCATGTCCATGCTTATGTGCTATTCGCTAATAAATGATCAAATACATCACACCTATTATTTTCCATATGTAGATTTTATTCCTCATGATCACAGAATGTACACTACCAGTCAAAAGTATACACAAAGACACACACACACACACACACACACACACACATATATATATAAAGGCTTATCACAAATACAAGTAGTGAAAATTCCAAATGTATTTTAATAAGTAAGTTTTACTTCAAATTAAATGGTTTCCATGTTTATTTTTCATTTAGAGCTTTAGGGAAGTTTAACAAAAGGTTACGTTTAAGAAAAAAGGTCTCCTTGGGGGAAAGTCCATCCTGAAGCTGGTTGAGAAGATGCAGAGAGTGTGTAAACCTTCATCGGGAAAACTGTTGCAAATGTAAATCCTAAAATTAGTTTTAATTTGAAAGGATAGTATTAATATCTTAGTACATTTACACTTAGTACATTTACATAGTATTAATATCTTCAATATCATTCTAAAATACCTAGAAAAGAGTAAAAATAAAAAAAATTCTATGATCATATTACATTCTGTAATTAATTATGTAATATATTATTGTTATATATTAATATAATGATGTAATAATAATGGTTTATAGTGACCACTGGATATCACATATACAGTAATTAATATACAGTATAATGAAATATAATTAGTAATAACATTGTACAGATTAAAGACTATTAGAGAAGAAAGGCTTAGGACAGAGGCTAATTTAGGTCAACCATGCAGGACTCTCAGTGCCTCTCAGAGCCAAAGAACAGATGGTGCTCATGCATTAGAAGAATAGTTTGGCCAAAAATAAAATTCAAACAACATTCCCATTACCCCAAATGTAATAGATCAGCCAAGACATGCCTGGATTCAGAAATTTAGTTTTGTCTGGAGCTTCAAGGACAGTGCAACTAATAATCTAGGAGATCTTATAGCTACCAGTTTAGCACTGTTTGGCATACAACTACTAGTTTAGCATTGTGCAACTGGCATCAAAAAGTCATCACACTTTGTTTAAAAGACATTGTTTGATTTACTGTTACCATTTGTACATAATCAGTTTAATAAAGTCGAAGAACTAGTCTTCATTTAAAAAAAAAAAGTTCAATAACAAACGTATAAAATAGATATGAAAACCTCATTCTGAAACTGAGGAGGTGTGTTCACTAGCTGCACATCGCCTCCTCTAAATTCTTCAGTGGTGTGGCAACATCCATTTTACCAAATATTTGAGTGTTTTGGGTCATTGTCCTGCCAAATTCTGTGAGGTTTGTTCTCTTAGCAGTGTCTCTTGACAATTTAATGATTGACTGATGAAGCTTTAATAGCCTTTCTTTGTCCAGCTAGACTGTCATTTGTTGCAGTTACTTTCTTTCATTTTTATAGCCAGCGTTCCTCTTGTAACTCTTGATCTGTGTTCTAACTCTGGATCTCCATCACCATGGCTCCAAAACCATTCCCCTCCATCCAGCCATGATGTGATGTGATATGCATGATGGTGCAACAGAGGCCACGTTCACTTTACATGCTTCTTTGCACAGTTCAGATTGTTTGCTCAGATCAGATCTGTCTATGTTGACAGTTTACATGCATATCTTTCTCATTCATGTCTCATGTCCACTTATAGGATATGTATCCAATCTAAGACGATGTCCAAAAGTGACTCGGGTCTGATTTGAAAAGATCGTATTTCCGTTTCCACACAGTCCTGAAAAAAACAAAAAATCATATCTGTGTCACATTAAGGCAGAAAACTGGATTTGTATCACTTGAATGTAGCCAGACTCATCATTTGAAGTCAGGAAACACAGAAGGCTTAAAAAAACCAAAGCAAAGCAGCAGATAGACTTTGTTTTTGACCTGGAGCTTCAAGGCTAATGTGGCTAATAATTAAATAAAAGCTTATAGCTACCAGTTTAGCACTGTGAAAATGGCATCACAAAATCATCACACATATGACTCCAAAGACATTGATTTTTTGATAGCATTTGTACATAATCAGATTAATAAAATTGAAGAACTAGTCACTATTTAAAAAAAAAAGTTAGATCATTGTTTAGATATGAAAACGTTGTTTTTCATCCTGGAACTGCTGAGGCGTATTCACTAGCTGCACATCGGCTCTTCTATACTCGTTAGTGGCATAGCAAAATCCATTGTACCAAATGATTAAGTGTTTTGGGTCCTTGTCCTGCCAAGCTCTGTAAGTAATAAAAATGCCTTTACGGTTTGTTCTCTTAGCTGTGTCCCTTGCTGATTTACTAATGGAATGACGATGCTTTAATAACCTTTCTTTGGCCAAATAGGCTGACAGTGGTTATGTTTAGTTTCTTTCACTTTGATAGCCAGTGTTCCTGTTTTAACTCTATTAATCTGAAGCCTAGCAAAGTGCCAATGCTCTAACTCTTGATCTCCATCACCATGGCTACATCCACTATATCCAGACCTGATGTGAAGTGATGCGTATGGTGGTGCAACAGAGGCTATGGTCATATTACAAGCTTCTTTGCACAATTCCAGTTTTTTGCTTGGATCGGATCTGTCTATGTTGACGGTCTACATTTGTAACCAAGGTCACCAATTTCCCAATTATCCATCCACTATTCATGTCTCATGTTGACTTATCGAGTATGTATCAAATCTAGGACCACATATGGAAGTGGCTCAGCTCTGATTTTTTTTTTTTTTTAAAAATCAAATTTTTGTGTCCACAGAGTCCTGAAAAAATCAGATCTGTGTCACGTTCAGGCAGAAAATCAAATTTGTGTCACTTCAGTTTGGTAATTTGAATGTAGCCAGACTCATCGTGTGAAGTCAGGAAACACAGAGGCCTAAGAAACTGCGTGATCGCCGAGAAGCAGGCAGACTCAGCCTCAGCCGTTACTCCATCTCCAAAGCAAACACACACTGTGGAAAACACATGCAGAAGCAAATGCAAACATAAATCCAAATCCAAATGAAGACGCATTTGAGAAAACAATCTCCCCAATTCCATCAGTGGACCTTTGTAATAGATTCTGTTGTGAAATCGTTATTTACAAATGGATTACTTTCATTCCTTGGGCTTGCTTCTTCAAACTTTGTGCAAAGAGTTTGCGGGAGTGGCTGCCAGGTGCTACAGAATATATGAAAAGGTAATAGAAAAAAATTATTGGGCGTGTCAGGGCAGTCCGCCAGGCATTTATAAATGTTTAGATTGTAATATATAACTGTAATAAATTTGTACAAATCCAAAGATTTCTCATATAAACATATATATCATGGCTTAATGGTTATAGAGTTGGACTTGTAACCTGAAGGTGAACCTGAAGGTCGTGGGTTCGAGTCTCAGGTCCGGCAGGGATTGTAGGTGGAGGGAGTGAATAACCAGCGCTCTCCTCCACCCTCAATACCACGACTGAGGTGAGACCCTTGAGCAAGGCACCGAACCCCCAACTGCTCCCCGGGCGCCGCAGCAAAAAAGCCTGCCCACTGCTCCGGGTGTGTGTGCACTACTGTGTGTGTGCACTTGGATGGGTTAAATGCAGAGTACAAATATCAAGTATGGGTCACCATACTTGGCCACACGTCACTTCACTTCACTTCATATGTCTTTCCACACTATCCTGTGCTCTGCTGTGTTTCACATGAAGAACCTCTCAGGCTATATTGCCAGGAGGTTATATATACTTCATAACAATATTAATGATTTATTTTTAAATGAACACATTCTGAACTTATTTCAACTATTGGAAAAATTTCGTGTGAGAATCAGCATGCCTTGCAAACACATTAATGAATTCATTTTCACTGCTGCACTGGCATTTCTAAAGCTTGGATGGATAATCCCGTGTAAATGTTTCAGCATGAGTGTGTTTGTTTAGCAGGAACCGGCTCCTTCAGGTCTGAAAAAGCTCCATCTATTTTTCTAGATTGATAGCTGCTTTGAGATGACCGAATGGAAAGTGAGCATGTTTCCCAATTCCAGAATGTCAAGCTACACAGTTCTTATACTCCTGCCAAGTAAAAAAAAAAAGGGTATGTGCATGTGTGCATATGTGTGTGTGCATGCGTGTGCTGGGCCTGAGTATCACGGGAATGTGCCACACCATTCTCACTAAAATCAAAACAGTTTTGATATGGAATAGGTGTCTACAAGCACTCGGAGAGTTGTAAGTCTGTGGGAAACTTCTGAAGGTGGACAATATTTCTTACTGTTTCCCCCTCATTTCTGTCTATTTCTCAGTTTCTCTCGGCTTCTCTCCACATTTCTCTCTCTTCTCTGTTTCTCCATGTTCTGTTCTTTCTGCATTTCTCTCTGTTGTTGTCTGCATTTCTCTGGGCCCCTGGAAGACTAGTGGTTAGGCCTTGACACTCTCAATGCCACAGCCCGGGTTCGATTCCCCTGGGGTTGCACAAGACAGTGCACTTGCAGTGTCAGTCCCCAGATAAAACTGGGGAGGGTTGCGTCAGGAAGAGGATCCGGTGTAAAAACTGTACCAAATCAAATTTGTAGACCAATGATCCTCTGTGGCGACTACTAACGAGCAGCCGAAAGAACAACAACAACTTCTGCATTTCTCACTGTTTCCCTATGAAGTTATCTCTGTTCTCCCTGCATTTCTTTCTGTTCCCTTTGCATTTCTCTCCATTTCTCTCTGCATTTCTCTCTGTTCTCGCTGCATTTCTCACCATTTCTCTCTGTTCTCGCTGCATTTCTCACCATTTCTCTCTGCATTTCTCTCTGTTCTCTTTGCATTTCTCTCTGTTCTCTCTGCATTTCTCTCTGTTCTCTTTGCATTTCTCTCTGTTCTCTCTGCATTTCTCTCTGTTCTCTCTGCATATCTCTCTGTTTCTCACTGCATGTCTCTGTTTCTTGCTGCATTTCTCTCTGTTTCTCTCTTTTTTTGTTCTCGTTTTTTTTTCTCTTCTGTTTGTTTCTGTATTTTTCATTGTTCTCTCTGTGTCTTTCCCTGGGTTTCTTTCGGGCTCTGTGTTTCTTTCTGTGCCTCACTCTCAGACCTTTTTGTCTTTGTCTCTCTGCATTTCTGTTTCTTTTTGTATTCTCTTGTTCTCTCTTGTGTAATGCTCTTTGTAATTCTCCTTGTTTCTTGTTTTTCTCCTCTCTCTGCTTTTGTCTGTTCTTGTATTCTTTTGTTCTGTATTTCTCTCTTTGCACTTTTCTTTATGTATTTCTGATTTCTCTGTGTTTCTCTACTGTGATTAAGTAAGGATGTAACAGCTTATGTTGGGGAAGGTGTTTCGATAAGAGTAGAACTCATAAAAGTCATAACTACATTTTACTAGGGCTTGAAGGAAAAATAATAATAAATAAAGATATTTGACGGTGGATCAGATTTCAAATCAAATTGTTGACTGCTCTAGTAAAGTTGTTAAGTAAAACACTTACTCCTTTCTCACAGTAGGGTACACGGAAACAGATTTGTTTTATTGCACTGTTAACATATAAATGGATGGATAATGGGCTGATAAAGACGAGACAGGTGTGCTAGAGCAAAGCGTAAGACAGAACATGCATTGGTCCTGCAGGATTTTAGTCTTGAATAGGCTTGTTTGTGTGAAAACAATTAAGATCCCAACCTTTGTTTATGAGCCATCTAGACAGAACAGCAAAGCAAATTTTTCTTTTTTATCACAGGGACAGATGTTTTCTTTCCGAACCAGTTGTAACCTATTAAAATCTAGGATTGCAATACAAGTGTCAGCAATTCAGTGAGGTATCTAAACCACTGTGGGGAAAAACCTAGGCCCAGGAAGAGTGAGTAAATGCAAGAAACGTCTAAAAAAGCTATAGATATATAGCACCATAAAAATGTCTATGTGTAGAGCAGTTAATGACACCAAAAACTTTCCATACATTTTAGATCGAATTACCAAACCACGCATGTTACTGCCCTGATTTAAAAAAATCATTACAGTCCATTTGGAAAATAGTTTCCATCACGTAATGGGAATTAGCTTAATGGTTTACACCAGATTCCTGTAGGCTTTCAGTTACGGATTTTCTGTTTACTATTAAATACCACAAGAACCCAATAGGGCCTTCTTTCCTAGGTGATCATTACTGTGCATTCATTCCTCTTCAGTAAGCGCTTTATCTTGGTCAGGATCACAGTGGATCTGGAACCTATCCTGGGAACACTGGGGTACTGGACACTCATTCTAGCCAATCCATCAACTGGAATGTTTTCAGGAGGTGGTAGGAAACGAGAGAACCTGGAGGAAACGCATACAGAATGGGGAGAACATGCAAAAGTCCACACAGACAGTAACACGAGCTCAGGTTCAAACTGGGGACCCTGAAGTTGTGAGGTGCCAACATGACCTGCTCTGCTACCGGGATGACTCCTGTTTCAGAATAAAATGATATAGGAACCAGGAACCAATAGGCACAACCCATTCCATTAAACTACCTTTATTCATTAAAATCCATTAAAAAAAATCATTTTTCATCAGGGCATAGTAAAGGTAGAGCATGACTATCATGGAAGTAAAAAGAGGCTGCAGTAATATTAGTGAAAGTGAGCTCAAGCCTTAACTCCACAACACTTTAAACAAGCAAGTGCTAAGTAACAGTACCATTTGCAGATGTTAGCTGGAATTCCACGACCAGACCTTTAAAAGAATAACCTGAGAAAGGTAGTGTAACCACTACCTATTTATTGCCATTAAACAGAGTACTTTTTTTTTTAGAAAATTAGTAAGAACATAGAAAAAACTTCCTGTGAAATGTTTTTGAACATCTGATGAAAATTTTAACATTAAAATGGACATGAATTGCCATGTTTTGACTTTGTATTTTATTGAAACCTCTCTAATTGTAAAAGTCGCAGATCTTCATCGCTCTACTTTGTTACTTCACTTTAATCTAGTTTTAAAATATCTGTGGTTTTTTTTCACCTTATACTTTTGACTTTTACTTCTGCCAGGCAGCAGAGATGGTTGCAAGTGCAGGCAGACTTTCTTGTAACAAGTTTAAAAAAAATCCACAATGATAATCAAAAGCAGAGTTTAAAAAAAAAAAACAAAAAAAAACAGGCGATCAACAAACAGATTTTTCAAGGACAAAATCAGAATTAAAAAACCAGAAAACCAGCACAAGAATAAAAACCAAATAGCGTGCATAATATATGAAGGGTTAGTGCTGTCATGAGTTAACTCAGACCAATACTTGGCTTTGTGTGTGTGTGTGTGTGAGTAAGTGAATTGAGTCCAGGTGTGAGTGATTAGCAATCAGGTGAATGTGAACATGATAGTGGCTGCGGGTGATGGGTAATGGAGTACGGCTCAGCCATATTCTGATGCTGTGGTGTGTCTTTTGAATTCTAGGGGAGCTGTTGGCACCTACGTGGCGATTCCCTCAGACAAGGTACCATGTGGGACAGGTTTATGCTTGGAAACATAGAATGATGGGGCTAGGCGGCAGTGACAGGTAGGTCCAGCTTATAAGTTACCTTATTGAATAATAACTTGGTGGTTTTGAAGGCAGATGGTAGAGCAGGAAATGGGATGAGGCGTAGGGACTTAGAGTGTAGTGCTGTGATGGGGAGATGGTTTCTGGGTGGTGCGGCACCTGCGAAGAGCTCAGTGGTGCAGTCATTTGGTGCATGAGGTGGTAGACTACGCACCTTGGCCTTGCTGAACACCTCCTTGAACTTCTAATAAGCAGAGGGAATTTCCATTCTGGAATCCATTTCTGGACTTTCAGCTGAGGTGGTGACACTGGGGACTTTGAGGCAGTTGGTATGACACTGAGGTGGCCAACAAAGAATCTCCTTATCTGACCAGGAGATATAATGGTTGTCTTTACAGCCCTGGCAGTCCAAAAACAATGGAGTATTTAGCTGTGGTAGTGACCAGGAATGATATTTTCTCATGATGCAAGGCACTGACATGGAGCATGATTTCTGTGGTGCAATGTGTGCTGGATCCTCCTCCAATGGGTCCTTCGTCTAGTGCTTGGATTTTGATGATTTTGATGTTTTTGAACTTTTTGACAAGCTCAAGCTAGAATTCAAAGCTGTAGGACCATGTGTCTGTATGGTATTTTTGTGAATTTGACTTCGACCACATTGTTGCTTGTTGGAGTTGGGCTGGGGTTGGGTAGTGGGAGGGAGTTGGGGATTTAACAGGGTTTATTTTGTTGAAATAAGTAGAAAGAAAAAAAAAAAAAAGAATTCAAAGCTGTATTCCAGCTTTTACAAGGAAATTTAACATTTACTTGAGTACAATTTGGGTACTTTTACCACCTCTGTTGCTGTTACTAGCACTATTTTGTCTTTTTTCCACTGCCTTTAATTCAAACTCATTGTGTTTAATTAGATGTAGGAGTTTGGTAAACCATTGTTCTGTGGCACTAAATATCCTTATTACTTAAATTGGTTATTTAATTCTCACGTGAATAGTCCACCTCTTACTGCCCGAAGACAAAAGTTGTGTCTGAGCAGACATGCTGAAGAGATTTAACTTTATACACACCTTTTATTATTTAATATCTGTATACACAACCATCAGGGTCTAGGCTAGGTGATTATTGTAACAAGACATCAGTAAAACGTGTCTCATTTCACTCAGCTTGGGTTTGTCTGCATTGCTTTCTCATGTGACTGATACGAGTTTAACTGACTGCTACAAGCCACATGGATGAGATCTACAGCAGCACCCAGAAAGGGAGAGGTTCATGAATTAGATAAATTAACGTTGAACATCAAATTGGTCCAATAAAAAACAGACCTAGATAGTGCCAAAAACACCAGGGAAATGATGACGGCAGCAAGATGCTCAAGGTTTTCTTTCTTTTCTCGAAATTTCTCTGTGTATTAGGGGTCTAAATAAAATCTAATTCTGCCTGTCTGGTTATCCATTCACCCACAAATGTTATTTTTCTACTTAATATTATACTTGTTTTGAGCTTTTTCCCATCCATCTACATGCACGCAGGATTTTTACAGCTTAATAACACTGAATTCTAGCATTTTTCCAGCATTTCCAGGTGATTAGTCAGACTTCTATAAAACTAATGACTCAGAGGAAAAGGTTGTAGGTAAATTTCTAAATGGAAGAGGTTGAATAACGTATCTTGATTTTGAATGCCATGAAATGATGAAACAATAGCTATGCAGCTAACACTATTTTACATTTTATTGAAATAGTTAAGTGTGTATTTAATGGCTCTGTAGGATGTTTGATGAATTATAACTTGATATAATTATAAAAACTGGGAATTTATTTATCACTGGAGGCTTGGTGGGCTCTCAGTACATAAAATGTTAGAAATCCTAACTAGTTGCAAAATTGTGAAAAATTCTAGTCCACTTACAATGGAAAATCAAGAATCTCAAGTAAATTATGCAAAATGAAACACAATTAAACATAATATTGGAATTTTCAGT